TAGTAAAATATAAAACCATTGCCTCCATGCAGTTCTCCAAGCCTCAGGGTATTCCAGATTCTCCAGCTCGATGGATTGAACTGCAGCTTGGTAAGTGGCAATRTGAGCTCGGCAGACCCTCAAAAAGCCAAAATGCTGAGAAAATAGCAGATGAAGGAATTAAAAGCAGATAGAAATAGTGACCTGGTAACACTAGAATCAGAAGGCAGTTGCCAAAAGAGGTGGAAATGTCTTTCCATCAGTGTAAAGGGGAGAAGCTGTGATTACAAGAGTTTCTTTGAAACTCAGTGGTGTGCTTGTGTGTCTGTAACTTGAACAGAAATGGGTACTAACAGCTGTATAGTATCACAGCATATCTCACAGGATCTGTATTAAAATCTTTTGTCTAGATGAGGATGAATTCTTGGGTGATGAAATATATCCTGAAATATATCAACACCTCACAGAAACAKCACATTTAAACGTTCAGGAAAGTGTTTGTGGTCACTTTGTGAATAAAACAAATGAGTGCATAATCAAAATTGCACAGGTGAGTTTACYTCCAGTAAAGACTGGTTTGCTTTGTGTCATTGAGACCACCTGAGACTCAGCTTAATTACAAGTTCTCCTCCTTGCATTGTGTGGTGCCAAGCTCAGGATCCAGTATTGGAAGGTAGGATCACGTTAAACAAGCCACAGAGTTTAACACCCAGCAAGGCTAACACAGGTTTTTATCTACTGGCCTCTTTCTGAAGAAGAAGCAGCACCTATTGTATGGGTAAGAATCTCAGAATAARAAGTAGATTTTCCACAGGACTTGGAACTGATGTCTTCTTTTAGGGAAGTGTACCTGGGAACATTCTTTCTACTAGTTTAGCAGCTAAGTTCCTGCCTCTAGGTATAGAGAAAAAAAATTCAGTGAACTTAAAGACTATAAAAAATACAGGGTTTTTTTGCAGGTACAAGCTACAACAAGAAAGGTCAATTCAGTGCACTGACAGCAAATGAAAAATGGCTGTTGTGTGTGTAGCTCTCTTGTATCCGAACTATTCCACATTCCTAGAGAATTTAAGGGAGAGTTCCTAGAAAGAAGTCAGTTCTAAGGGTTCACCACATGCACTTCTAATAAGCCACTAAAAGTTACCAGGGCTGTTTTCCACAGTAAATTCAAGGTACAGAGACCTGTTACTGATACAGACTAAATTTGTCACACACATAGATGATCAGGCAGCAGAGATCAGAGCAGGGGTTTGTTTTTGTGTGTGTTTTTTCCCCTGCACATAACCTTTGATGRCTGGTTCACATTTTCAGGGGTGCCCTGGGAGGATCTGGCCACACCTTGGTGGCCCCCATCCCTCCTCAGTCAGGGCTGTGTGCTCTGGAAGGTGACCTGGGAAGCTGCTGTGGAAGCACCAGCTCTGCTGACACAGGTTTGTGTTCTTTCTGCTCTGCACAGAGAGAGCTCCTCACAGCAGGACAGGCAGGTTCCAAGGGTCACACAAGCTGACAGCACTGGCTCTCAGGCTGGCTGCTGAGGGCCGTGCATGCTACAGTGTTCTAGGACTGGATTAAAACAATGGTGGTGTTTGCATAAATGCAACCCAGCCTTGAAGAAATTATTACATTTTTTTCTCACGCCACAGCTTTGGAATGCACAACTTACAAAAAAAATACATAGGGAAAAGCTGGTTTTTATCCCACACAGATTTAGGAAGTGTAATATAGCTGTGCAGAACACTGGAGAAAATAAAGGTCGGTCCCTACCAAGAGCAGGTACATGTTAATGGTGACACCTTCACTGCTTCCCTCTGACACCAGCTTGCCCCAGCATTGCACACCAGTGTCAGCGTAGTTACAGCCACAATGGTTCAGTAGCAAAGAATGTGTCATGAAAGAGAATTAACTGACAAACTCAGCTCCACCCACCCCTCTGAGGAACCAGCTTTAGAGCCTGGCCATTGCATTGACAACTCCTTGCTCTTTTGATACCTGAGGCTGTTATTGAAAGAGCAAACAATACAGAACCAAGTAATTCAATATTTGGCTCCTGCGGATCACAAATACTCATCTGCTGACGTTTGAATTAAAGAGCCAAGCAAAAAGAAAGGGGTGTTGCTTTGTTTAATTTACAGCACTTCAATAAAATCCAGGATCTAAATGTTCCCTTGGGGAGGTACAGTTGTAACTACATTGTTAACACTTAACTGCAAGCACTGAAAAAAGTTATTTGCACTTCTCCAACACTGAGCGTTCCGGTTTTAATTCTTAATCTTCCAGACAGCTCCACTGGAGAGTTTAGTAACTGGAAACAATTGAAAGTGCATGCATTTCTGGAGGTGATGGACAGTTGGAAGGATAAGARGAAGTTAGTTCAGCACCGTTTGTTTAATTAAGAGTACATTAGATCATATCTTGTGTAAAAGTAGACCACACATCACTGTAGGACAGGATACATAATTTCATAAAACTCCATTTTGTTTTTGATCATATACCACAACAAGGTRCATGCATAAAATAACAACAAAAGATATTAATTGCCAAAGTTTACTTTAATTAAACCTTTTTAATGATACACAGTACAATGTATCCACTACTTTGCTAAAATTCACAACAAAAGCAGGTTTCATGTTTAAAAATACTTTTTATAATAAATTCATAAATAGATGAAGGTAAAGTATAAAAAATTACCGTAGTATGCAAGCTTGCTCCCTTGTCTCCTCATATTCCAAATCATTTAGTCAGTATTGTGATAAGAAAGTTTAAAAGTAAAATAGTAACTGATGATTAGAAATGTACAGCCTGCATCTCCCGAAGAAACCTTGAAAAGCAACAGATTTGTCCTAGAAAATGCAGAACCATTTTAACACTGTTATCATCCAAACCCCTCAAATAATTTTGGAATGCAGTGAATGAATTCAATATGAATTAGAGATTTTTACCTTCTCCCCAACAGGTGTGTGTGAGCCAGACTGGCTGGAATGCTCCCTGGTCTCTGGAGTTGTGGGGTTTTTAACCTGTCAGATCTCAGCGAGTGAGGCACAGAAGAGGGAAAAGCTGGTTGACAGCACAGAGCATATCTGACTATCAGAAATCATCTCTCCTTACAGACTTATAAAATAGAAATCTCTAAAAACAGTTACAAAGAACTAAACTCACCTTCTGCTCAGTRTATGCCTGTACCTATTTTCTGTCTGGCAGGCAGGACAGGGTCTGGTCTCCCCCATTGGCTTCCCATGTTTTGGGAATGGCTTGTACCTGTTACACCATTCCAACAACACAGCTCAATGGGGAATCCCTGATACTACACCACCAAACCCTATTAGAAAACTTAAATCTCCTCATCAATATTATCACTCTCTTAAGAAAGCATTTATTTTGTCAAGTATCGAACTACTTTTCATACTTTATTTTAATATCATTTATAAAGGGAAAAATCTTACTTATGCACAGCATTGAAACAGGAAATGAACATGAAAAATGCAGAATAATCAGAATGCTCTGCCTTTCACATTAATGATTTTTATTTCTCTGATAACTATTTCCCTTTAGTGCAAAACCACTTCCATACAAGTTTTGTGCTTTATTAGCAATGGTACCGAGATGCTTTTGAAGACCTTGGAAGGCATCTGTCTGCAGCTTTAGAGTCTCAGAAAATTCAGCTCTTGGCTCACTTTTAAAAAATGTTTTCAAGACAAGTTTGCATGCCGTGTCAAAATCTTTCATGCCTTTGTTTTCACATATGATAATTTAGGTACCCAAAATCACCCCCTCACATCTTCCTATGAATCTCTATTGCTCACAGAATTTATTGCAGAAAAACAAGGGTGTTGATCATCACAGTGCAAAGTAAAGGCCAGAACTTAGCAATTACTAAAGGAGCCTGGCTTTTGGAAGTGCAGATTGTGTTTGTCAGGGGCCATAAAAAGACAATTCCTGAGGAAATACAATCTTCCATTCAATGCTCCCCTCTGCTTTTATCTGAAAAAGATAATCTTTGTGTCACAAGGTGTTTGTTTATTGATTGATTTTTTAATTGACTGAACAATTAGAAGTTGTAACTGCTAATTTGCCACAATTTTGTTCATATGTAAAGTACTTTAAGCTAAAATTTACAGAAATGTGAATATTCTTTATCTAGCTATTACATCTGAATAGTGTATATTTTAAGATGTCTGAGTTTAGGGGGAAAACTGGGGTTTAAACTCCTACAGAGTAGTTAATGCTAAGGTATACATTTCATATGTTCTTATGAAAGCTTAAAATGTAACTACAGTTCTTGGTATTCTAGTCTAGGCTTCAAAAATGTAAGATTTTTTGTTAATGTTATGTTTATGACTAAAGGAAAAGCAAATAGTTCACTTGTGGCAATTTAGAGGTAACAGCAGATTTTAATGGGCTCCATAAGCCTTACACAGAAGTGGCCCCAACAGAAAGAGCTTTGTGAAGTTGCTGCACCTCCCTCATGCCACACTGCCTGAAGGATGATGGCAAAGCTGCATTTCAGAGCACACTGCATTGCATGCACATATCACAGAGAATAAGTCACTGCCACGGCAGCAGAGATAAATAACATACATGTGCAAAAACCTGGTGCTTACAGTCCGTCTGGGGGCCCTGCAGTGCTTCTTGATAGAAAGCTTAATCCTCAGAATTCTGATGAATTTGAGGCAGAAAGAAAAGTCAAACGAGTGTCAGCAATTTGGCTGGGTAATAAAATTGGAAATAAATCAATGGAGGGCTAAAAATATCCTGCAAASGAAACACAAAAAGTGACTTTTTAATGATAAAGAAAGCCTCAATACATTTCTATTAAGGCATGATCTTGGGTCTACTAAAGGTTTTCAAATGGTGTGCTGGAGGAGAGAGACACACCTTTAASCTCACAGGTTCTAAATACAACTTTAGGCCATTTTAACAGCTCTCCAAATGTTAAACTCTGCTGGTMCCATACAGTCAACTAGTTTTTAGCAGTCCATCCTTCTTTGGTATAGAAAGCAGTCAAATTTCTGTGGTCCAACAAGCAAAGAGGAAAAGCTGTAACTACCTGAGTAGGGCATTATTTCATCTTTGGGAAGGAAAGCATCTTCTCTGAACCGAGTATGCATTGATTAAATCTAACACATTTCATTGGACTAAATAGACAATCTTCCCTGACTCAGGCTTCACTTTTCCCATTCTTGGGAACTTATCCTGTTCCTTTGTTTTCCACTGGCCACTGACTCACACAGAAAAACAAGACAACTGTTGACAGTCTGCCTTCAGTGATGCCTGAAGGTACCTGTGTAATACAGGTAACTGCCTTTATCAGCATTCAAAGAAATAGAAATTCCTGTTAAAAAAGACACAGTGAAAAGAATWTGCAACATTTATGCTTCAAAGGATCATTTCTAAGTGCATTTTAACATATTTCAGTCATACTAAAAAATATTAAATTAGTCATAGCAAGATCAGGATAGCAGAGTAAGCTGGCTATTTTTATCTGACCTCTGGCAATAATTCCATGGACAGCAAATGTACATTTGGGTTGGTCAGTTTGTTTAGACTTTGTAACTCTGCTCTTTTCCAAGTAAACTAAACTGAAATGACAAAAAAGATAGAGAGGGCTAAACTTGTGGTGGAAACCAGAACATCTAGTAGTGGAATATTTGTTCTTTTTTCCTACAGTATGCAATTAAATGCTTCCATCTGAGAATTGTTCACTGCTTTGAATAGCTCAATTTAGTAATCTAAAATTCCCTGGGCAGTAAAAACCAAGATACCCAGGAGGTGATTCTCTAACTGAAATCTCAGTGGGATGATCAGCACTACTACAAATACTACAAAAATAACACTACAAACACTGTAAAAATAAAATCGAGAGAGCACTTCCTGAATCTCTGAATCACTTCTTACAGCATGGAAAGAAACTGTCAAACCTGASAACAGTCCATTACAACAGACTGTGCTCTGTGACTCTGAAATTATAGTTTGTSCAACTGTAATAAAATCTATGTTAACAACATGGCATCTTTTATTGCCACATTTGGAAATCTAGAATGCTTTTTAGTTGATAAAACAACTTTCTATTATTTGAGAAAGGATACTTAAGTGCTGTGGGTGATTAGCCCAAACTTTGGGATTCCTTTCCTTTCAATTCCACCAAGAACTACACAYATCCTGTGAGAATGCCTGACAGGGGTTAAACTGAGCACTCGCCATGGCTGGAAGGTACCAGAAGGGAGTAATTTTATTTTTCAGGTTCACAAAGCATGTATTGTTCTCACTTCRTTTTCCTCCAGCACACTGTTTACCCAAAATAATAGGGTAAACTTCAGAGGTCTGTTAATATATCAATGTTTTGGAAGGAAGACAGGTAAAGAGAAACAATCTCTATTAATGAAATAACATAATTCATCTTGATTTAAGGAGACTTTGATTATACAATTGAGTAGAACAATCCCATGAGRAGAAACTAATGATGATATTGCCTTCCAGTTCCCTCAGGATTGATGTGAGATAGCAAAAGATATTTAAATGCTCAACTGGTTAGGACTATGAGATTAGCAGAGGTGGGCCGATATATCCTATATAAATAAATAATTTAGTATTATTTAAGGGAGCTACAGTGTGAGTGCAGGTATATTGCTTGACATATCATTAGCTCTTCAACAGAATCTTTAAAGGCAAAGGAAGAAAATGAGCAAGAGCTCCACTTTTGGTGAAGTTCTTGGAAATCTATCAATATTAGCTAATAGAAAAGCTAGTAGTGGTATTAGCTGTCCTTCATTTAGTTTTGGAGTTTTTCTCCCTAAAAATACTACTTTCCAGTACAATGAGAGTAAGAAAATCACCAGGACTTCTCTGTTTTTAAGTATTCTCGTTTCTCCCAAATTTTGCTTTGCAAAGCAAATATTAGCTGGTTTCTGGGCTRACATTTATTTGGTATTGTATTTACATAATTATAAATAATTGCACAAGTTCCATCCATGATGATGGACTGGATGAGAAACTGGAGACAAAATCAGCTTAAAGYAAAATCAATACAAAGGATAACAAAGGCCATGCTCCTGGGAACCACATTCTGCTGATGATTTCATTTCAGTATTTGCCTCTGCATTCCACTCCCAAGTGTTACAAGGCAGAGATCAATGTCCCCCCTTCTGTGCTTTTGTAAAATTTTTGCACACTTCGGTACTGCCAAAAATAAATGATAAATTCTAATGCAAATACATGACAGGCCAAGGGGATCTGCTTAAAAGCAATTACTGCACCRTAGTCTTGTTAATGTTCAACTGCCAGTAAACAGGTTTCTTGGCAAATGTTTATGCTGTGAACTCTGAACAAGCGCTTCTGAATTATTCACTCAACAGACACCAGTGCCCATTTATACCCTAAGAGTTGAAAATCAGGTTTTTACCYGTAAATCACAGGTTTATTGCTACTCCCTCTCCTCACCCAGGTATCCTTTTGGTTTCAATAGGATTAATGGAGTTAAACCAGCAATCTTYCTAATGCTTGAATTCTGTAGCTGTGTGTGAGTCAGAGGTTTAACAAAGTTTTCAGCAGGGCAGTGCAAAGCTCTACATTTACTGTTTATTTCTGGYCAAGAAACTCTCAGCCTAGTGAGCACTGTGCTTCTGCCAGTGAACAAAGGAAGGGTTTGGTAATCAAAATAAACTTTAATTACTGACAGCCCAAACACCATCATTCACATCTGCTAACCTGAAAAATAAACCAAGTCTTCAGACTATTTCTTTGTGCTCTTTTGTTCAGTTAGCAAGGCATGCAAACTTGTATTACACTTGTTACAATCCAGAAGAGCCAAGAGTTACAAGACAAAACTAATTTAAAGCCATAGTTTTCGTTTTCTGCAGCAAAAARAWGAAAACTAATTTGAATTGGTGCCTYCATTTAAAGTACAGCAAACAAATCACTGCTGCTGTATTGCACGTTTTCTGACTGAAACAGACAGACCTGCAGACAGAGCCTTACCCTTCAAGCCTAGTTTAAGAGAAATATCCAGGCAAATTGTAATGAAAAATGTACTGCCTGATTTAATTCTACTTATTTACTAAAAAACCCGCAAAACTAAGAAAACCGATCAATAATTTCTCAGTTCTTCATCTACTGCAAAACCACAATCATYCACTGACTTCACTGGAAGCAGGATTTATGTTCATTTTGCTTCTTGTTCCAGTTTTAAGAAGAGTTACTATGTAAACTGTGGATTTCAGTGTGAGAAGTAGCAATACTGTTCTTAAATGCATGTGAATTTTTATCAGCATTCAATATTTGGCACTAATCTGCAAATAGTGGGAGGCTGAGCTTTCCTGGGGGGCCATGTTCAAGCAGAACTGCASGCCCATGAGCTACAGATATAAACTCTAATGTGTGATGATATAAAGTCAAATACTTGCAAATATTCTGTACCTAAAGGACCATCTCACCAGGAGGAAAAGCAGTCACCAGGACTGAGTTTTAGTTTGGACCATCTTCACAGTTTCTCCTGAGAGTAGAATATAGGGAATACACCAACAACTCTAGAGTTTGGATAATTCTCATTTTCAGTGTCTAGCTGGACATTTACTGCCTACTGTCTTTGGATGTAGGAAAGCTGGAAATATTCTAGAAAACCATCAAAAAATGCTACCAAATGCTACTGCAGCTCAGCCTGCCCTTCCATAGAAAATATTAGAATTGTGAAAACTATACTAGTTGAAAAATTTAAGGCCTTTTCATTCTTACAACTATAAAATTTGAAAACTAACCCCTTAGATAGAAGCAAACAGGCTACAAAGCATACATTACTCCTCAGCTATCTACCTCACAGTTTAAAAAACCAGAAAGAGCAGAGAATAGTTTAATATTTTCTACAGGAAGATGAACAGTATTAAAATTAGTATCCATTAGCCCTTTCCTTAATCTTCCTTATTTTCATGACACTGGATATGTTGGATGACTAAACTGGTGCAGCCCTAGTAGCAAAACAATTCAAGTCCTTTTTGATCAAGACTTTTCAGAAACAAGTGACTTGATTTCAAATGGATGCTTTTTGAAAATAAGCTCCTTCAAATTATCAGGATTGCAAAAATCACTTGCCATCCCTTAACACATYTGCTTTATCTGCAGAGTTAAAAATATTGCTGCTCCTGCTCCCTTTGCAAATCCACTTTTGTAAGGTGCCTGAGMGTGTAAATCCAGAGGACTGCTGCCATCAGTACCTCAGCTACATCTACGTATACTAAAGAGCTGCACCTGAAAGAACCAGATGGAGCTGGATTATGAAATCTATTCTGCCTAATATAGACTTTTGATCAACTATGAAAGATTTTTCCTGCTGCATATTTTCAAGAAATGAAAAGCAACTGGTAACTTGTGATAGGGAGAGGGAAACATTTGGGTACAAAGCTGGGAGGGAATTGCTCAAAAAGACATTGGTTTCTTACAACCAAGAAGCTGCAATGCATGCAGTTTTCAGCTATTCTGAGGTCTTCCTTCCCATTACTGGTATTTAAAGAGATGGTTTAAAAAAACAAAACCAATAAAAAAATCAAATCCACTTACGCCACTTATGCAGTCTGGTAACATAACATCAAATGTACCACCAGAATGAACCCTGTATATCACCTTTAGGCACATGGCAAGAGATCTTGGCTACAGTCAGTTCAAGGTTTCTCCAGTTCCTGTTTCCAGTGGTGCAGGTCTTGAGTTGTGGAATGAAATGATGAGACCTGAGGGCAAAAACTCAGTGATACTTCCACTTGGAAAAAAGGAGCTATCGCTGTGCAAACAATAGCAAATGAAATGCATCTTCCCTCTCCTCAAGGCTGTATGAAATCACCACCCTGGTCCAATCCTGCTTGACAGCAAATCACGTGATATTGCTCAGGCTCCTCTTGCTTTCTGTTAAAATACAAACTTCAAATTCTAACAAAACCTGAGAGAAGGCTCCCCCACCTGGGCTTGTTCCAATAGTAACTAGCAATCCATGCCCTRGGACAGGTGACTGCTATTTGGTCCTGTAAGCAAAATCTTGGCTATTATRACCCTTGAAATACCTTTATCAAAGACACTGTCACTTTCTGGTCAGTAGTGGAGTGCTGAGGATTTGAAGAGACACTGTCAAGATTGCCTAKTCCAAAAGTGACCTCCTTTGCCACCAGTCCTGTGCTAAATATTTTGACTTTTGGGTTTGCATCAGTCTCTTCCCCAACAAAATGTTTTCCCACCCCAAAATACCAAGTTCAGAGTAGTTTCCTCCATTTTTGTAACTTGTATGAAGGTTGCAGAAAATAAAATGGTGGGGACAAATGTTGAGTAAGTTTTTCAGAGGATCTGACTTTTAGGACTACCTCTCAAAAGTCCCTTTTTAAAAATAAGACACCAAAGCAAACAGGATTGTGTCTAACTTCTACAAAATTGCTGGTTTCACAGGAGGAGGAGGAGAATATGGCTACCATGCTACTCAGCATTAGGGTGAAGCACCATCTAAATTCCAGTAAAGTTAGGGAGATCACYAAGCTCTTATCAGCAACCACACCCCCAGCCTTCTACAACGTCTTTGCTGTCAAGCTTGATGCTGTCAGTATTCTTCTCACTGAACATGGGCCCTCCATGCCTCATCATGAGCTCCGTAGCCATCTTCACAAAAGCCTCCTCCACGTTGCTGGAGTCTTTCGCAGAGGTCTCAATGGCACAGATGATGTTGTCGTAGCGTTCAGCAAGGCTCTGAGCTTCCTCCAGCTGAACCTCTCTAAGGTCACTTAGGTCAGACTTGTTTCCTGGAAGAAAAGGAAACAACACAGCAATTTATAATGGCTGTTTATGTCACAGGAAGTGTTTGGCAGGAGGTTCTCAGGTTGCCCAAGGMAACTGCAGAATTTCCATTCTGTAGATTTTCAGAACGTGACTGAAAAAAGCCCTGACCAACCTGGCCAATCTCCCAAGCCCTTTCCAACCTGTATTTCTGTAGAACAGAAGAAGTAACAGAAAAGTGGTGGCAGTAGACCCTAACAGAAGAAAATGGGATAGAAATGAAAGTTAAACTGTTCTGTGAAAACAGCAGCTGTCTGCTGTTTCCTAAGGAAATCTAGAAWGGTACCTCTGTTGTATTAGGAAGTCTACGGCCCCCAAGGGCCACATCTGAGTCCAAAACTTTTGGGCTGGGAAGCAGAACTTATAGCAGAGAATCAACAAACCCTGACTGCCCCAAAGTCCTTCCAAAACTCCGTCTGCTGAAATATGTGTCTGCTCCAAAACACATCAGCCTGATATAATGGAGCTCCCCTGAGCCCTGGAAACCTAAAGATCTTTATCCTGAAATAGCTCCACAGTAGCTGTACCTCAGAACCTGGAAATCCTGGGCATCCCAGTTCTCCACCAAGTGAGGTGCAAAGGATTCAAAGCTGTCTACRTCTTAACAGAAGTCARCCAAAGYGAAACACTCCTGCTTTGATGAATCAATGCTTTTGGTWAAATTTCCAAACCAGTCTACYGCATAAATCTTAACCTCAACTAAAAATACAACTTGTGCCATATTAAACAAGTACCGACATTSCAAACTCACCGATCAGTAACTGCACTATGTTGGACCCAGCATACTTCCTCACGTCCTCGATCCAGCGAGGGATGGACAGGAAGGAGCCTCTCTTGCTGATATCGTAGGCCAGGATGGCTCCGTTGGCGCTGCGGTAATAACTCTGGGTGATGGTCCGGAACCTCTCCTGGCCAGCCGTGTCCCAGATCTGCAGCTGCAGAAACACAGCACACAGTGAGGCACAGCAGCAGCTCTCCTCARCTGAGAGACAGGACTTGATCCAAGAGCCTTGAGCCAAATTTCCTGTATGTGCAATCTATTCTAGCATTGTGTTTATTTAGTCTTTTATTCATGATCTAAGGATGGGAATATATGCTCAAGAACCTTGATATAAACATATATGTAATCCATGCTGAGCACTTGGCTGCTGAAAGTTTATATCTGATCACTTGGGACACTGATTCCTGCAGGTGAGCTCCTTCTGTTGCAGATTGTGAAATCAATCCTCTTGTGTGTCCAGCCCTACCCCTTTGTCACCCTCTCCAGCAGAGCAGCAGAACAAGCTGTCAGCCTGCAGCCAAGGTCACCTGGTGTGTCACTGAAACTACAGGAGGGTTTTGGCTTCCACATCCTCTGTGGCACTGATGTGGTTTTAACAGTTCTGCTACTGGAGCAGGAAAAATTGGAGCAGGATGTGGTCACATAAACTGAAAGCACTAATGCTGTTTTAGAAGGAAATCTGAGACAATTCAAAGAATATAGATAAAAGAGGGTATAAACAAAATGCCAGCAATCCTAYGTTTCAATAAAGTCAGTCAAGGATCTAGTCCATCCAACCACCTGCCCTTTTCTGGGCGGTAAAACAGACATTACATCTGGGCAGGAAGAAGAAATGCTTGGTTTACATACTTTTGCCTAAATGCAGCAGCATAAGAATTATGAGTTTGGTATCAGGGTTTGGGTTCCTAGTACCAGATGTTTCAGAGGAAGAAACCCARCAATTCAGAGTGGACAAACACAATRTCCCGCTCATAAGGAATTTCTTTGTAAATCTTGTTTTATAGGTTGTCTAATGTCCTGGAACATGATGTCTTATATTTCAGGATCYTTTAATCTAAAGTAACTGTGGATGTTCCCATTCTCCATATAAATCTCTCTCTTTTTGAATCTCTCAAAGCTTTTGGCTTCAATATAYAGTCACAATGAAAGAATTTCCTTTTATAAATTTATATCGTGTTGCACTTTCACTTCTCTATCCCCAAATAATAAATGAGAAACCACTGTTTGTCTTTTTGTTCCATTCCTCATATTCTGCATCTCCTCTTAACTGAGACAGGACATAAGCAAATACTGCTGGGGTTTTCAATCCTCCCATAGTGTGGACCTTTTATTTACTCTGAACTTCCTTATTTTGAAGTGTTGTCAACAACTTAATATAATGTGCCAGTAGAATTTTATACAAAAAAAAATACAGAAACATTTTTCCTTTTATTTTTTTTGCACATTAGCATTTTGTTCCTGTTTTCTGACTCTGCTTCATTTTTGAACAGCAAATTTCACTTTGGAAAAGGCTGTGCTACAGGATAAGATCTCATTTCCTGTGCTGACTGAGCATTTAGATCCCAAATGATACATGCACAGCTTAAAAGGAATCAATCCAATGAAAAAGTACTTCTCAGTTCTGGTAAGAGCTTTCTCAGAAGGGGAAGGGACTCTAATGGACTCAGAAAACCACAAAGAAATGATTATTAATGGAACAAGTAATGATTCAAAGCARTCACCAGCAATTACAAGAGACAAGGAAGTTCAGGGTATATTTATGGAAGATTTCTGTCTCAAGTCTCCCACTAGACCTTTGTGTTTGTTATGTACTTTTAAATCTCAGTACTCGATAAGGTCAAGTGCAATAAAAGGCTAATGATGATTACTCAGCTCTTGGGAAGGGATTCTGTGCATACAAACAAATTAGAAATTTTTTAATTAAAATTTGTTCTTGCTTACACTTTTCATGTGGTGTAAATAGAAGTGCAGAATGACTAAACAAGGGGATTTTTGAGAACCTCTGTATCAATACGTTCCACAGAATCATTGAGGTTAGGACAGATTTTGGGAGGTGGCAAAGCCAACTGGTGCTCAAAGTGCAGTCGAAAGTTACTACTTTGAGAAAGAATTGCTTCATGATTTTCCCATGGACAAACATGAGTCTGACCAGCCTGTATTTCCCTGGATTTGTTGTCCCTTCTGAAGATTAGTACAACATTTGCCTTTCTCTGGTCCTTCCCAAGTTTTACAGCCTTTCAGTAGTGAGAGAACAACCTCAAAATGTCATCAGCAACATCTCAGAGCACCCCCCACATTTTAYTCAAACATTTGTGTCTGTGTTCACAGGACTAAATCTACAAAGYTGCTGAAGCCCTCAATGTCCTGCTGGGAACAGCACAGAGCACAGGTCTCACCTCAGGAGCCCAAACAGGACTTTTCCTCCCAGCACACATCCTCCAGGTAAGCACAGGCACTGGAATTTTGTGTTCCCCCACTTGTCACTCCTCTTGTGTAAGGACTCCCAAGATATTTGCCTTTTTACATGATCTTCAGTTTGTGGTGCTTATGCTTTCATTGCTGAGTCTCCAGTAGGTATCAGACCCTGTGCATCACACCCTGTCCCTGCAAACCTACACAGCACTTGGCATGTTTGTCATTGTTACCAGCATTTTTGGGGGCAGCAGGAGTCAGGGGAGTGCTCCCTGTTTCAGGGAAAATTACTCGAATAAAGTCATGGCTCAATGACTTGTGGAAGCCAAGCTATGGCAATGCTGTCAGCAAGAACATCCACCCCACTGCACCCCCTGCCTCTCTCTGCTCTGAAACAAGCACCTGCTGGTCTGGCTCACCAGAGGCCTGAAGTCACTGATAAACAGAGAAATTGGCTTTTCCTTCTGCCTAACTGCTGAGCACTAATTCCACAGCCAGTGGTACTGAAAGTGCACAGACTGTGCAGGAGGAAGGGCTAATGGCCTTTGGAGCCATGGCTAAGTTGTCTTGCCGCCATCAGGAATTTTCATTCCCCTTGGGTTTAAGCTGCTGCTGAAGCTGAGTGTGAACTGATCCTATAACCCCCACCTGAAGCAGTGAGGAGTCCTCTGCAGCCTCCTCTGGCAGCTGTGGAGCTGTGGGAGCTTCAACAGCACCCCAGTCTGTTCTGCTGCATGCTCAGGGTGCAGGGGAACTAGGGCGGGTTAAGAACAACTCCCTCCACACCATTCAGCAGCTTAAAAACCTATCCTGTCACATTGTTTGTAATTTAAATAATACCTTACRTTAAATCACTAAAAATACACACTACACACACACAGAGCACACAAGTATTATAAATCAGATTACTTAATTTAAAACGAGTTGTATTTCTAAAGAAAAAATATAGTTTGCTTGACAGAATCTTTAGAAAATTTTAACAAAAATATTTCCACATAACAATAATCAGTCTGATACATGGTTAAAAATATAATTTAAGTAATTGCAAAAATACAAGTTCTGATCCTAAGTAAACACTATTTTCTTCAGCATCTGTACAGAGAAATTTCACAGATTTTACTGAAAAAGAACCATGACAACAATATAAAAACACCAATCACAATTATAATTTAAGCCAGCTATTTCATAGTAAAAGTTTAAAATGGTCTTTTAAGGATATATTTACAAGCATGTAATTCTTGATAAGAAATAACAATTGAAAATCCATTGGAAAAAAAATTAGTATTTCTCATTCCAAAGTTCCTCAGTATAAGTTAAATGTCAAAATCAAATACCAAAAGAACTGTACTAGCCACAGGTTACTAAAAAAGACATGATCATGTATTCTTTTGTATTGTACAAGTGTATCACATATGCTGTAAATGACACAAAGTTTGTAATTATTTATTTCCTTGATTAAAGTGCTTCAGCTTTGTAAATCACATGGTGGTAGTGATCTGTCACTCAGTAATCTTTCAAGAAGATCCTGATTTTGTAATTATTTTGGCRACTCTTTTTGTGCAAGAAGGACAGAAGTTAGGGTTGCTGGAGAATTGTGCTGAATTCATTTGAGACTACTAATGAAAAACACCTATGAAATCAGAGATTGGTGGCAGGCCTTCAGGGGGACCACTGCTGAGTAGCAAATGAGGCCAGGATAAAGAACAGGGAATAACTCATTGTTCAGAAGGAATATGAAAGAATAGCCAAAGTGAACAAAGACAAGAAGCCACCTTTCTTGTGCTRTTTGTTTCACTATTTAATACCAGTTTACTTCAAAAGCTGGTTATTTTGATCTGCTCTTACMTTTGAATTTTTTGGACAGCAGAGCCCTTAGCACTGGCTGGTATTGAAAAGCACAGTGCTAAACCAACTGTTATCTCCTATAAGATTTTTCATTATTCCATACAATCCCCATAACTACATTAGAYCAAGTCTTGAACATCTTTTTATGTTTGCTTTTTCATCTTTTGCTGTTGGGCAGGAGTCCCCAGGGAGTGTCTGCCATCTCCAAGGATGCAGGGTKGAACAGGAATGGCTGGGAGCAGTGGTGCTGGAATGGCCCTGGGGTCCCTGCAGACAGCAAACTGAGCAGGAGCAGACAAAATGTTGAAGATGTTGAGTGACAGGTTGACCAAAGAGCACAGGTCACTGACGATCATTATCAAATGGGTCACTGTAGCTTCTTCTTGCATTGATAAACATAYTGTTTATCAAAGGTTAATACTTAACAGATGGCCTCAAGACACATTATTTAATTTCTCCCTCCCTTACTTCCTACATAATTTATGAAGTACTTTCTTTATTCTTCAGAAGTATCACAGGAGTTCAGGTTTACTTTTGCTTGTGGAGCAGCATAATGACTAAGTACATCCTACAGTGACACCTTCCTTTACAAAAATAGAAATGTCACTTTTGCAGCAATGTAACAATTTCCATAAATTTTCCMAGTAGTGAAATACTGGACCTAAAGACTGTGCCAAATGAATCTTAACCAACTGTGTCTGAATCCTGTCATCTCAAATGGCAAACAATAATACATTTCTGTAGGCTGGCTAATCACAACACTTGCTCCTAAAAACATTTATTGAAACAGTCTTGCAACTTAATCCACGCAGTTTTTGCCAAAAGCAACATCTCTGTGGCAGTGTAGTTCAATTTAAAGTGATACTCATACACAGAACAGTCAGGRTAATCTGCTCCTTTCAAATATTTCCCTACACAATTTTCACAGAATGAGGAATCCCTTTTCGTTGGGAATGCAGTATTCCCGTTTGCTCCGGGTCATGAGTGTCAAAGCAGGTGACAGAGAACTACATTTCCCTCTGGATATCAAAGAATATTGCTGCCAATAGCTCTGCTTGTGTTTGTGTAGCAATGTTATCAAATACCCAGTCAGCAGACAAGACAGTTAACAAGCCACAACTTCATATTCCTTGYAATCTGGCCAGATCATGACACATTACATTCTGGGCCATTCTGAAAGGAATACAGTTTACAGCCATGAGGCCTGAATCAAAGCCAATAATCTTGATAACATATGGGCTGAAAAAGCTTGTAAATTAAGAAGTGCAATGGTACATAAAGAAGTATTTGTTATAAAAGGAATGTGTTTTCAACTGTTCTCCTCTCCTGCTACTTTCTGARAGTTATACTGAGAGAGAAAAGCTATAGCACAGAGGAAAAAATACTCAGTTTATGTGAAACACTATGAAGTGACAGCATTAAATAGACATTAAAGATAATTAATCAGCTCACAGGAGGTAATTCATCAAAAGAAAAAGACTTTTGTTATTACTAACCATGATTTATGGACTTGGACTTAGGAATGTCCTTGCCTATCATTATGTAAAATCTTGGTTCCAGCATTTTATAAATATCTTTTCTTACAGTGACATAACAGTTATAAAACATTTTTGTTCTGTTTGCCAGATTTTTTCTATTACTSAAAGAACAAGTAATTATTTTATCAATAGGACTTTAATCACTATGCATTAAGTGATTAACACCACTTTTAAACACTTTTGAGTGATTAACAAGACCAACTTTGGGAACCATAGTCTGTACTCTAGGATTTAGCCAGCTAAGAAGGATGTCTTTTAGAGAAAGCAGTGTGCTACAAATTTCAACCAGGTAAACAGCTGTCTTGGTTTGCCATAAGCCACCACAACAGCATGTACCAGAACATTTCTGTAAATAGAGATAGATATTTCATAAAGCTGATGGGTAAATTCTGGATATATGCTGGCCAGAATTTGCCTTTGGGATAAAAACCAAGGTGRTCACCATAGGTACTCTGAGGTTCCATTAGAGCCCAGGGTGTCAGATCTGCCAAACCCCTGCCTGGCTCCAGGGCAGCAGCATTTTGGCTCCATCACCTCTAAGAGCCCTATGGCTCACAACAGCCAAGCACTCAGGCCTAGTACATCCCACTGGACAAAATATCCCACCACCACTGGGGATCTGGAACAGAAGTTTGCATGGCACAGCCAAGATTACACACTCTTCCTCCCTGCAAGTGGTAAATCTCTGGAAGTCAAGGGGAGCACATTTTGGGGAACCTTTTGAACCTTTAAATTGCTTTATTTCTAAAGAGAAAGCTTCAGTTATTGGGAGTGTCCATGAACAGCTCTTTCTCAAGCACTAATATCTCCTTCTGTATTAAGTTTAGTCAGCTTCAGTAGCTGATGAAGCAGCAGTGTGTGGAATACCACATGAGACATTTGAAAGAATACAGCTTTAAGCTGCAAGAAAAGCCTCAAGTTCCATAAACAATAAAGAAAAGTTATTTGMAGAACCTTAACCTTCAGTATTGCAACATGCATCTTTTCCCTTATCCAAAAAAACACATCAAAAGAAAGGGAGACCTAAAATCCTTGGGCTCCAAATGTTTCAGAAACATTATGTAACTGTAATGGGAACATCTGAAGTTTGAAACAGAACAGGGCACTAACACATTTAACCTTAAATTGTTTGTTTCAATCTCAAAATAAGTGTTGTTGAGTTGCAATACTACCCTTAGCCAAACTAAAAATAAAGTTTAGGCCACTGGGGATGTGGAACAAGTAGCATTGAAGAACGCCTTGGTTCTTTTTTTGTAGAAACTTCATTTTGAAAGAACTCCTAAAGATGAGCCTCTAAAACAGTATAAAAACAGATTTTCTCATTCCTGYACCATTTGCTAAATAGAAAACAATATTGTCTTGAGTAGCAATAAACCCCTAATGAAATCAAAGCAGCAGACAATTATCTGGCCTGTTTTTGTAAGAACAAATTTCATTTTAAACATCGCTTGACTGGAGGCTCCCCAAGCCTCAGTTTATGTAAAACTCGTTTAAACAAGGATGTCTCATGTGACTGAGAGCCACATGCATCTCTCACATGTTAGGGCTTGTTTCCTAACCAGAGGATGTGACCAGTGCAGGGAGCTGGGCTGCTCTGCCTGGAATCCCTGTCCCCTACACCAAAGYCACGTTTGTGCAGTCTGCAAGAAACACACACTGCCTGCTTACTTTGTAAAGCAGCTCACAAAAGTGTAASAAAACACTTCCTTATTTTCTGTTTCCAAGAGCATGCTGAGCAAACCTAACCCAGATTACATGGATTGCTCTGAAATCTCAATCCAACTGGAAAAGTCTGATTTAAGCTTCACACACAACCCACACCTTAACAGACCAAACAAAAAAACCCTCCAAGCAAATGTTTTCATATTAAAGCTGTGTCCCTGACTCAGCAGCTGACAAAAGTACCTGTACAGTAAATCAGTGACAACATTGGACTAATTTCCCTGAAGCAATGCTTAAAATACCCTTCTTCAATATGTGCATTCCTGTTAAGTGGAAGTACAGAACAACCCAAAGAGAAAGAAAGTGTCAAGACCTTGCATTTTCTTACTTGATTTTTGTAGAATACTTAAAAATAACACACAGGTTTTGTTACAGACTGGCTACTGCTCTAAGAATAYTCAGGTGCTAAGTAATGACAGTATGAAAAAGCACACCTAGGAAGTTTGGCTGATTTCCTGGGGTACTCCTCCCCTGCTCCTGAAGGCCCTGGCTGAGACCCCTGGCACCAGGAACAGACACATTTGTCACTTTCTATGTGCTCSGCATTTAAATGCAAGCAGGTTTCAACCTTAAAGGAGAAACCCCAGTCCTCACTTTGCCAGGAAGTGTGGAAGAGGTACTGACAGCTCAAACAGAAAACCTGAGTTTYCTTTTCAGTTCCTCAGCCCCAGCCAGATGTGATAGGAAAAGGTGTGATACMACCAAGAAAATAAACACTGCTGCTACCTGTGGAACTGCTAATCCCTCTCTTTTCCTAAAAAATGCGAGCCTTCATTTTTTTCTATTTTCTGCAACTTTCTCACCTTAATATTCTGCTCACCAAAGTTAATTTATAAGAAAAAAACAGAGGACTTTGACATCTACCTTGGTAAACACAGGCCATAACTTATGTGCAATTAATGTATTTGTGTGTGACCAAAAGCTTTTACAATTCCGTCATCTTTCTCCAGGCAGTGACTGAATTAAATGCTTTTTTGTCTCACTGAGGGTAAGAACAGTTGTACGAACCCGTTCTGGTGAAAGGATTGATCCCAGCAGCCCCCCATAAAACGTAGGTGTTTCAAACATTTTCTCCCCACTGTTTAATTGCACTTCACTGCTCAGAGCACCGTTATATAGAATCTGTGCCACTGAGAATCTGAGGGTCGATCCACTGGGTACATGTCCTAGGCTCTTTCTAGCCCTAAAAAAACAGCAGATTTTCTCCAGCGTAAGAAAAGCAGATGTCAAATTTAGAGTCTATTGGTTCTGTAAAGAAGAACTATAAAAACTGCACTTCCTGTGACACCCTGTAAACAGTGTCTTAAGATAATAACGTGCCTAATTTAAGAACCTTCTCTCAATCTGCCAGTTCCRCATCCCTTTCTGGAAACGTGACAGTCCAGCTGAGCTTTCTTCTGGCTTGTAAACAGCCCACGGCCAGCCGCCTGAGGAAAGAGGGGTGCTGCCGCTACAGCAGGCTGAGCGTGTCCCCGAGCGCGGCTTTGCAACGGGGCTTTTGGCGGAACCGGCCTGGCTGGCGCTACGCAGCTGCTCCTGCCGCAGCCAGAGCGCCGGCGGATGCGCTCGGTCCCTCCCGGCCCGCGGGAGCTTTTCGGGAAGGCGGCTCCGGGCAGTCCGTTCTCYGCTCCCGGGGCTCCCCGGGGCACCGCGCCCGCCGCCGGCCCTGGCTGTGAGGGCGGCTCGGAGCGCCGGGGCCGGGCCGGAGCGAGCCCCGCTGCCCTCCCGCCCCGCCGGGCCCGCACCCGCTGCCCGCCCGCCGGGCCGCTCACCTTCACCCGCTTGCCCTGGATCTCCAGGCTCTTCATGGTGAAGTCCACGCCGATGGTGCTGCCCTGGCGCTCGGCGAAGGCCCCGGTCTTGAAGCGCTGCACCAGGCAGGTCTTGCCCACGCTGGCGTCCCCGATCAGCACCAGCTTGAAGAGGAAGTCGTAGCTCTCCTCGGGGTCGGGGCCGGCGCCCAGCGCGGCCACTCCGGGCATGGCGGGGCGCGCTCCGGCCTCCGCCCGCGGCCGAGGGCAGCCGGCTCTGCGCAGCGCCCGCCGCCCGGCACCGCGCCGGGACCGCCCCCGCTCCGCCCCCCTTCACCCCCGGCACCGCGCCGGGACCTCCTCCGCCTGCCCCGCTCCGCCCCCGGCACCACCCCCGGCACCGCCCGCGGCCCGGCTGCGGCAGCACCGAGCGGGGCTGTGTCCCTGCCCAGTGCACACCCGGGTTCGGGGCAGCACCGAGCGGGGCTGTGTCCCTGCCCTGGATACACCCGGGTTCGGTGGCAGCACCGAGCGGGGCTGTGTCCCTGCCCTGGGCACACCCGGGTTCGGTGGCAGCACCGAGCGGGGCTGTGTCCCTGTCCAGTGCACACCCGGGTTCAGCGGCACCGAGCGGGGCTGTGTCCCTGCCCAGTGCACACCCGGGTTCAGCGGCACCGAGCGGGGCTGTGTCCCTGCCCAGTGCACACCCGGGTTCAGCGGCACCGAGCGGGGCTGTGTCCCTGCCCAGTGCACACCCGGGTTCGGGGCAGCACCGAGCGGGGCTGTGTCCCTGCCCTGGGCACACCCGGGTTCGGCAGCACCGAGCGGGGCTGAGTCCCTGTCCAGTGCACACCCGGGTTCGGGGCAGCACCGAGCGGGGCTGTGTCCCTGCCCTGGGTACACCGGACCGGCGACAGCTCCCCCGAGTCCGCGGGGCCTGTGCGGGTCGCTGTCCGACCAACATGAGCCATCATGTGTGGGCAAACAAGGGCGAGCGGTTCTGGTGGTACTGATGAGCCATTAATCGCTGCCTGGGCAAAAGACCTGTRCATGGCGGGATTCGGCCACATCCTGTGCAGTGGCAGATTTTTGTGCTGTGTTTTCCTGGTTTCGTGTATTCCTTTTACAGTTACTGACACAGAAATAAACAGGTGCAGTTGGCATTCAGCCTTCCGGGAAGTGCAGCTGGCTTGCTCTGCTGGCTTTCCATTTTCAGGTCTGAGCCGGGTGTGGTTTGTTTCCATAGGCACAGGCCAAGGCTCAGGGCTATGTTTTTTTCACCCTTGCCAGGTCCTGTGCTGCCGAGAGATGGCTTTAGAACTGTGAACATCCTGCCACGTGGGTACATATGCACATGTAAGTGTGTGACTGTACGGCCTCACACTTATCCTGATACACATGGCCAGTTTGTATCTCAGGAGGCTGGAATTATTTGTATTTTAACTGCTATCTGGACTATCTACAAAACAAAGTGCTCTTTAACAGGTAAGTGCTCTCCCTTAGGTTACGTTAACCTTTGATTAATCAAGATACTTATAAAAATAGGCTTCACTTATGAACTACATTGACAGAGTACATTTTGTTATTCTGTTCTTTGTACCAAAKATCAGCTCAATTCCATCCTCATTGTTACAGATTATAGAATTGTGAAATGAAGTTGTTTTATGGCAAAGATTGAGAGTTAAATTGTCCCACAGTTAGTTGTACTGGAGGAGAGCAACCTCTGAGCCAGCACAGCCAGCCAGGCCAGCTTGGCTTGAATTGCCTCTGAAATCAATGTACTTTTGGGTGACTTCATGTTTATTTCGTTTCAGGTCTGGATATATATTTTTGCTGATCCATGGTAACCTTCCAGCCAAGAGCAGAGGTTTGTGTACTCAGGCTGGAGCTTTCTGTTCCTGGTGGCCTGCAGCTCTGAATTAAGCAGGCCACTGAATCCTAAGATATTSATYARCCAGGAAAGAAAAGGTGTTAAAAARGAAATAAGACATCAYTGTGTGTATGCTTTCCTRCTAATTATATTTTCAGAGTCTGAGCAAAACACTTCAGGAAATTTAGGTTATTTAGGAGGAAACATTGCTAGAGATAYCAGTTTTTAATATTTATAATTTATTGTGTCACCTCATTTTAATGGTGCTACTTCTCTGAAGAAAATTATAAATCAGGTATTTCATTATCCTTGCTAGAGATCATTGCAGACATTTTTCTGTTCACTATCATTGCTACTGCTTGTCAGCACGAGTCTTTAACTGTTTTTAAAATAAKTCTCCATACAGAACCCACAGATTGTCACATTGTATTGTTAGGCTTGTGTGACGGATCTGTGATGAGYTCTCTCACATTGTGAAAGCTGCAAGCAGTGGTTTGAATGTTAAAATACTTGGATTTCTTCRATTAATACCCAGACTCCATTGGGGTTAACACCTGTTTTATGCAAAGATTAGGAAAAACAAAACGGGTTTGAGTCAATTCCAATTTGAATCTGGCTGTATTTGAGAGTGATTCATCAGAGAAGAGTGAGGAGTGCTGGAAACACTCTCCAGTAGTCTCTCTGCTAGTACTACTCTAGTAGTACCCAGAAAACTGCAAAAACCTRATAGAAACTCCTCTAAACTGGCCTTAGGTACAGTTTCCTTTTCTCTGAGTTCAATAGGGGAAGTGAAATTTCAACTCCACCAAATGGGTTGAGYTGCAGAGCCCTGGGTGCAGGTGGGAAGTTGTTGGCAATTTCCACATTGGATGGTGGAATTTGGGTGGTGGGACTGGGTTATATTCCAAAGGAGCTGCTGGAGACTTGGAGTTACAAAGCACATTAATTAAATTCTGACCTTCTAAATAAACATCTACCAAGAGCTCATATGAAACAGAAAAAAACACCAAGAGGAGTCCTAAAATCTGTTCCCCACTCTCCTGCAGAACTATTTGAAGGGGTGGAGGACAGGGGTTCAAATAAGTTCTGTAACTCTGTGAGGACACAGTAAATTTATTGAATTCTCTGCAACAGCAAGCATTGATTCCCAGTAACTTCCAGTGGGGATGCAGAACAATCACCAAAATTGCTCATGAAAACTGTTGTGGGTTAAAGTTTCTCCTTTTGTTTCCTTTCTTGGGGAATTTTTCTTTCCCATTTTGTTGCTGGGATACACTGATTGCCAAGTCATTCTTTTCATGGCTGGGCGATAAGGAAAGACAAAAGAACCTAGCCCCACCTGAAGAGTCTCCCTGGGCACTTCTTCTGCCTGGCAGGTTATTTTTTTTCCTCTCTTTGGAGAGAGGGAAGTTCTTGTGGGAGTTTTGGGCTCAGAGATGGTGTGTGTGTGTGGGGCAGGGGGTAGCTTCACTTCCTGCCCTGCTTGGCTCAGAGAAGGAGGTCGACCT